AAATCTGCTGAAGGTGGAGATCCAATGGGGCAAAATAATCTTGGATGGTGTTATGAAAATGGAATTGGAACTACGAAAGACGAAGAGAAGCATTTTATTGGTATCTGAAATCTGCTGAAGGTGGAAATAATCAAGGTCAATGCGGTCTTGGACATTGTTATAAGAAAGGAATTGGAACTACAAAAGACGAAGAGAAAGCATTTTATTGGTATCTGAAATCTGCTGAAGGTGGAAATAATCAAGGACAATGTTGTCTTGGATATCGTTATGAGAAAGGAATTGGAACCACGAGAGACGAAGAGAAAGCATTTTATTGGTATCTGAAATCTGCTGAAGGTGGAAATTCAATGGGACAAAATAATCTTGGAGAATGTTATGAACACGGAACTGGGACAATAAAAGACGAAGAGAAAGCATTTCAATGGTACTTGAAATCTGCAGCGAGTGGAGAAAATTTTGGCTTATACAATCTTGGAAAGTGTCATGAACACGGAATTGGAACAACAAAAAATGAAGAACGTGCATTTCAATGTTATTTAAAATCTATTGAAAATGGAAATCAATGGATTCAATATTCGAGAATCCAAAACGTTAACTACCTTACTCGCGGAGGGTTTGGGGAAATATTTAAAGCTGATTTGATTCAAGATTCTGGAGTTATCCTTAAAGTAGCCCTTAAAAGTTTACGCAGTTCCGGAAATATTACCATAGACTTTCTAAAAGAAGTAGGTTTAATTGAAAGTTAATTGATGATTGTTTATATTGTCAGTTATTAATATAAATGGTTGTTTTGCCTTTCCATGTATTATAGCTGTTAGCTAACAAAATTATTTTAGATGAAGGTCTGGATAGATTTATTCTTCGATGTCTAGGTATTACAAAAGATTCAGTTACAAGTGTTTATATGATGGTATTGGAATATGCAGAAGATGGAAGTATGCACCAATATTTATTAAAGTATTTTAAAAAAATCTCGTGGAAAGAAAAGGTCGAGAAGCTGAGTTATATTGCAGAAGGGTAAATATCTACGTGTAAATACCTGCCGAGCCAATCATTGTTAATGGAATTAGAAATAATTTTTATCTATCATGTAGGTTTGAAGAAATTCATAATAGAGGATTAATTCATTGTGATATTCATTCAGGAAACATTTTATTAGGTGTAAATGATGTTACTAGTTCTATTAGAATAGCTGATCTGGGTTTATGTAAAACTAAGTCAACTTCTGATTATGAGAAAGCATGCGGAGTAATACCTTATTTAGCACCCGAGGTTCTTAAAGAATACCAATTTACTCAAGCATCCGATGTGTATAGCTTCGGAATGCTAATGTGGGAATTTACATCAGGTCATCAACCATTTAAGGATAGAAATCATGATTGGTTACTTGTACGGGACATTATTAATGGATTGCGACCCGAAATCACAAAAGATACACCGCCAGCTTTTGAAAATTTGGTAAAAAAATGTTGGAATAATAATCCAGATAATCGTCCGAGTATGAGAGAAATTAAACAACAGCTTAATGAATGGTGTCGATATATAGAGGAAGAGAACTTTGTTTCTGCCGAAAAATATCGAAAACATTTAATAGAAGAAAGAAAAACAAAAGAAAATGTTGACGTCGTTAACTCTGGAGCGTATTATACAAGTAGATTTTTACATTCCATAATTCAACAATATACCCCACAAAGTAAGTGTAATATACTTTTAATTAATTAAAAGTTATTAACAAATTCATATTGAATATTTTTTTTGTTAAAAAAGATGAAACGTCTTCGGAAGGTATGTAAACTGGCAAAGTTATAAGCGATGTCATTAGGAAACCACTAAATTTTATCATATGCAGACATTAAATATAAATCCGTACAAGAAGACTTGAAAATCGATTTCGCGATCTAATTAAATTTTTGGCAGATTATCAAAGTATCTCGATTTTGTCATGAGAAGTGTCACTAAGTGTTGCAGATTTGAGGGTCAACTTTTTTGGTAAAAATTTTATGACATAAAATTGTGACAATACCAAATGACAATTCATCACTCTTTCTTACACTTTTTCTAAACACACGAGCTCTCTAAATATATTTTATTTGATAGTTCCAATCTTGAAACTCAATGCTAATTTATTTAATATAAAATAATATATCAATGTTTATTATTTAACAAAATTTTGTTTGTTTTCAGGTTATAAGAACTATTTGCAATAACAAATTATATACAGTGTGTTGCAAAAAGAATGACAATTTTTTTATAATTCTATTTTAATTAATAATTTAATAAATAATTGTTTTTATAATTTAATATTTTATTAATATATTTTTGAAGATATAATAAAAATAAATCAATTGAAAAATTTTAAAATAAAATAATAATTTTTTAATATATTCTGTTTTAAAGTTAATGATATCATTAAAAAATTTAACTTGAAAATAAGATTACAAAAAATTTCTTTAAAATTTTATTATTTCTAATTTTAATTTATAAATTTATTAAAAAATTACATATATACAGTACATTGTATATATTAAAAATAGTTAAAAATATTTATATAATATTGTTAGATTTTTATGAAATTTTTTTAATACAAGAAAATTAAATTTTAAAAAATTAAAAAATTTTTTTGCCTATTTTCTGACCATTTTTTATATATATAAAAAAAGAGTTAAAAATTTTTGATTATAAATTTTTGATTAAAAAAATTATTTTATTTTTAAAAAATACTAATATATTAATTAAAACAGTACTAAATAAAGTTGTTTTATAAGATATTTATTATATATTTATAAATTTTTATAAATTTTATAAATTATTTATTAAGTTATAATTAAAAATATAATTATTATTTTTTTTGTACCATACTGTATTTGATAATTAATATAATAATTAGTTTATTTGTTAATATTTTGATTATTGTAAATATAATGGTTATTGTAATTATAGTAGTTATTATAATGATATTGTTTATATTGATCACTGGAAAATATATTAGATATGTAACTTTGTTTTAATTGTTGTTAATAAAAAAGATTTTGTTTTTGTTAATTATAATATAATATATTAGATATATAATTTGTTTTAATAATTGATAATATTTAATTAGTTAAGTTTGAAATAATAATCAGTTAATAGAAATAAACTAATTACAATTTTTTATAAAAAATTTTTTGAATAAAAATTTTTAATTTTTTTTTTATAATATAACAAAATATCTAAACATTATTAAAAAGTATATATAAATATACTGTTGATATTTCAAGTTAACAATATAAACAATTTTAATATTAAGTTTTGTTTTAAGAATAAAGAACAATTTTTTAAGTAAAAAAAATATTTATTTAATAAAGTTTATATATTAATAAAAAGTGAAAATAGGAAAAGTCCCAAGAAAGAAATATAAAAAATAATTATTATTGGCTTTTCCTTATACAATTTAAGAAAAACAAGATTCTTAAACTTGTTTTTTTTTGATTAGAGGTCTTATTTCAATATATCAGTAAATTTTTTTAAATAATCTAATAAGTATTTTTATAAAAAAATTATTTAAAAAATTATATTAAAATAAACAATAAATTAAATATTTTTTATTATATATTTTTAAAATATATTTTCAAGATTAATAAATATAACAATAGTATTATAAATAGTGTTTATAATATTATAGAGATAAAAAAAAATATTAAAAAAAAAAAAAAATAGAAAAAAACTGCTATAATATTTTTTTATGCAATTGAAAAATAAGTAAGACTTTAAATTTAAATAGATTTTGATTAAAGGTTTTATTCTATTATATTAGCTGTTTTAAGGATTTTTAAGTTTTTAAACTAAACTTGTTTGTGATAAAACACATATAAAACATTTTATTTAGCAACAATTACCATAAAAAAATTTTTTAATAAAATAAATACAATTAGAAAAAAATTTTTTTTTAATTTATAATTTTATAAAATTATAGAATTTAATTAAAAAACTTAATAAAGTTTCAAATATAATAACTTTTTTAATAATTGATATTAATAAAAAATAAAATCAAAAATCAAATTTTAAATAAATTAATAATAAATATAATTAAAAAAAATTTTTTATATTGCATTGATAATATACAAACATACCATTGTATAATTTTAATATTAAGAATTCGAACTTAATTACAACTTTAAATATTTCTCTTATCTAATATTTGTTTAAAAATATAATTTCTTATTTATTACGTTAAAAAATTTTCAAATAAAATATTCTTTGCTTTAACAAATGTTATTTCAAAATATATTAAGTATGTCCGGCACTAAAATCAATTAATTTGATGCTTCGGATGAAACATACTTGTAAGCAAAATAAGCTACAACCACCAAGATTGGAATTAAGTAATTGATAACACTGAAATATTAAAATATTAAAAATAAATATATAATGTAAAGGAAATATCGCGATTTTTTAAATAATACCTTGATGGTTCGTCTTTTGATGGTGATGGTTTTGACGGGGTGGGCTTTTCTTTTTGTGGAGGGGCTCCCTTTGATCACGTGATACAATTAAACCCATTAAAAATTGTTGAGAGCTAAATAAAAATGTATAAATATTTCCGTTTTTACGGTTAGTTCTTACTAACCTCAACCAATTCACCAACTTCAAGATTTTTCAAAATATCGCGAGCTTCTTCGGAATGCCCTATGGATTCAAAAGCATCAGTGGCGTCCAGACCTCCCTCTTCCATAAGAACTTCTTC